CGGCAGCGTTCCCCCAGGGCCAGCGCCGGGGCCATCCTTGTTAATGGCTTCATCAATGACCCGAGGACGGGATCGAGCCCTTGAACTGGGCCTGGTCAGGCCGCAGCCTGAGTACGGGGTTCGGTTTTGGGTGCCACAGTGCGAGGAGGACAGGGACGTGCTGGAGCGGGTCCAGAGAAGGGCAGTGAAGCTGGTGAAGGGTCTGGGGAACCTCTTAGGAGGAGTAGCTGGGAGAACTAGGGTTGCTTAGTCTGGAGAAGAGGAGGTTGAGGGGAGACCTTACTGCTTTCAACAGCTACCTGAAAAGAAGCTGTAGTGAGGTGGGTGTTGGTCTCCCCTCCCAGGTTACTAGTGATAGAACAAGAGGAAATAGGCTCTAGTTGTGCCAGGGGAGGTTTAGTTTGGATATTAGGAAGAATTTATTTCCTGAAAGAGTGGTGAGGCATGGGAACATGTCACTTTTCAACCTTGATGATTCCATGATTTAATAATGAAACTTTGTAGCTATAAATTAATTTGTATGTTTATTTATTACAGTCTTTGTAGAACAGCTGTATGAGATCTTTTTCCTACCAGCAGCCCAGATCCTCCCCCACCAGCCATGGACAGAGGAGAGGTGCAAAGGAAGCAGTTACCGATAATGCACTTAGACTTTGAGGTTAATTTATTTTCAGCACCTGTTCTTCAGTACAGGTATTGTTAGAGCTGGAAAATACACACAAGTATTTTCTCACTGAAAAGGCAAACTAATTAAAACCAGCTGTACACAGAAAGCCTCGTTCACAAAATCCTCCGCTGCAGCAGCACCAACAGCACTAAGGAAAACTCCCACCATGTCAATGTCTGTCAATACCTTCATTTTGTTGTCACTCATCTTCCTGAGCTGTAATTTAATGGACTTGACGAGACTTCAAGGTGTGCTGAAATCATGAAAACATTCAAAGCCTGCCTTTTTTTTTTTTTTCCTTCCCCCCAAGAAAAACATTCTTCCAGGTCTGAAACCATTATAAGCCCATTTCTTAAAGATGCACCCATGTTACACCTCAAGCAACTTGCTCATTAAAAAGCACCATTCACCAAGATATATTACAGCCACTATCTTGCAAATGACTACTGAAGTTAAATGCTAGAAATAATAAAAACTTTAAAAAATACAAATCTCATACTACCATCTTTAAACAGAACATGTGAATAGGAAAGCACTTTATATGTTAAAACCAAAGTAACTTGTTTCAGTTCATTCAGCGTAACCAGGTGGTATTCAGTTGTGTCTGGTTTTTTATGCTTGTGTCCATTTTCAAAACTTCTCGAATCGCCATGGTAGCGTAAGTGGATGGGGGAAGGGAGAACTCCATCTTCAGTGCTCTGAATTTGCCATCTGTCATAAGCGGTAAGAGGAGACACAAAGCACAAAAAAGGGCGTAAGTAATGCCTCTTCTGGATGCCATCTAAACCAGACTAAAGTCTTCCACACCAACCCCTCCTGCACCCAGCTCCTAAAGCCACCACACCACAACCACCACACTCAGGTTTACAATCCATTGTTATAAAGTGGTTTTATGAAATAACACTTTTTCTCTCAGCAAGTAGAGTTTTGGGGGTTTCAAAACTGAATTCTTAGCCTCTTCACTTTTTCTGGGAAGCTGTGTCAAAAGACCTTGTGACTAGAGCAATATAAAAAAAATATCCATTGAAATCTGTTAAGTATTTGAGTAGTCCCTTGTGTTCAGCACAAATAATGTGTACAAAGACTCTGTGGCTTAATTCCAGCTCCACACATTTCACAGACATTTATTCCTAAGCATCTACTCAATTTTACAGACTTGTATAAGAAAAATCAAAGTAAATGCAGACTGCTGGAAGAGTTGCTTGCACTTCTGAGAAATAAGGGTCCTTATTTAAACACCCTGCTTTGGATGTATTTAGTACCATTCCTTAACAGTCCAGTTAAATTAAAGCTCTTCCTTAAAAGGGCCTTCAATGTGTAGCAGTTCAAAGCAACAGCCAGATTAAACTTCTACTTTGCAAACATCATCAGAGAAATCAGCTTACCTGTAGGAAGAACTGGTAATGGTTTTCCTTCCAGCTTATCCAAATCCGTAGTAAATAATGGGATTTTGGGATCGTTATATGCAACAACCTCCCTTTGTGATATATATAAGATTTTTTAATTATTATTTTTAATTATTTAGAATAATATTTATATATTGTTTTGTATGATTTTATAACAGAAATATTTATTATTATTCCAATGTGGCATTTACAACTGAAATAGAGTTTTCCTAAGAGATTAATGTCTGGCAGCATTTATGGTGCAATAACTGGTTTATGTAAAACAGTTGCCTCTGATATATGAAGTTTATAAATAATAATTAGTGAGAAATTTCTTTGCATAACTCATCTGTTTTCCCTCATGGGCTGTCAGGATTTCTAGCCATGCAAGAAGTGTGGTTTATGAAATTATGAGAAGAATGGCATCAACTCTAAGAATACTGGGGGGGAAGGGACCTTCATTTTGAAGAAAGCCACTTAAACTTCTTTGAAAAAGATTAAATACATATTCTACTCTCTTTGCCATTCATTTATCAGAATTTCCACATGTAATGATGACGCTGAAAAAGTCACTGGTAAGTAGATAAACTTTCAACATCAGCACTAGTTAAAGTATAAACACTGATATTTTTGTCTCCCTCCTGAACCCTCTATTTTTTCTGTGCATCAGTGATGAAGTCTTTCTGCACATTTGTAGAGTCACCAGTTTAAAAGATATTTATTCAGTTGCCATATGACAACTAGATTGTATCTCTAACAACAGTGGTCCAGTAGTTTAAGTAATACAAATCTTTCTGATTGGCAGTTAACTGGAGACCAACTCTCTCATAGCAAGCCTACAAAAACCTGTTTTGAATGTTATCTACCATGGTTTCAACGTAAATTATTACTATGAAGTGTTCCTTGAGGGTAACAACTAGACAGCAGAGGTGTCTCGACACTCCTGTGCCACAGCCCCAGGGACCACGGCAGAAGTAAGGCTGCGGGTCACCTTCCGTGGCGTAAGAAGGCCGAGGGAAGGGCACAGATTCCTCCCCGCCTGTGCTTCAGTCTACACGTGCATCCCATGGGTCCAGGTAATGGTTCTTGGATTCAGTCATCCCACGTACACCCTATGCTGTTAAATCAAGTGCAATTTCCTTTATCTTCCTACATACCAACTGACATTCTGAGGTCGAATAATAATCTTTCTGTATGCTCCAGAAAGTGAATAATCTCTGATTTTATGCCTCATGTTGTTGATGTCAAGATTGTCAGCTACTAGCATTTCCTTGTAGGCCTCACCAACTGCAAGAGAGGAAAACATTCAATCAGCTGCACTATGCTCTCCCATTAAAACAGCCTGTTTTCATAGATCATCCCTTACACTTAGCAATTTTCAGATAAATGTTACACAGAAGTTTCAAACTACTTATTGCAAATCTTATTACCTACAATGTCTTCTTCTACAACCTGATTAGCAGAGGCAGTAATCAAGAAAGAATCTTAGCAAATAAAAATTTCAGCTGAAAACAAAATTTACTAGAGCTTCTATTGACATTGGCATCTCATACCTGCTTTCCAATTATCTAAACTTCACTGAGATACTGATCTCAGGTATCGGGAGGAAAAAAACCCAACCAACGGATCAGACTACCCATGGCAAAAGGAGTAATACTGTTAGTCTTTTATCCTTAAGTCAGGGCATGTGCCTGCACACCACGGGGAAGGCAGGGAAGAGAATGGAAGTACAAGAATACACTGCAGCTAAAATGCTGTCTGGTGCCTTGGATCTGCAGGGCAATTGCCAGCATTACTTCATGTAGCTGGGAATTTTAACCAGGAGTAAGTTAGGCTTACTGCGGGCAAATCCCAGCATAAATACATTGTAAAAAACTGCAGGTTTTCTTCCCACTCTTTTAACTCAATGTGGTTCACTGCCACCCCTCATCACAAACAGGTCTTTATCTTCTAAGTGTCTCAGAGATGGGTCATAAATGGGATCCCAAATCTGGGACTGAGCTCTGACAGGCACAGTCTCAGAAGACTTCTCTGGTCTTTTAAGGACAACCAAGTACAAAAGCAGTTCGAGTCAATATTGAGGGAAACAAGCACATGTATTGGGAGACTGGTTTGGCTAAGTAGGGAACTAAGCTCATATATAAGGACACATCTAGTAGGTGAAAGCTATGGCTAGCTACAAAGAATAAATGCACCAACATTGCCCAGGCATGTACAGATGATGTTAGGAAAGCCAAAGCTTACCTAGAGCTGAAATTGAGAACACACTTAACGAGCAACATCAGGAAACACAGCATCATAGAATGGTTTGGGATGGAAGGGACCCTTAAAGGTCATCTAGTCCAACCCCCCTTGCAGTAAGCAGGGAGATTCCCAACTAGATCAGGTTGCACAGAGCCCCATCCAACCTGACCTTGAATGTTTCCAGGGATGGGGCCTCCACCACCTCTCTAGACGACCTGTGAGATTGCTTCACCACCCTCACTATAAAACATTTCTTTCTTATATCTAGTCTAAATCTATCCTCTTGTAGTTTAAAACCATTACCCCTTGTCCTGTTGCATCAGGCCCTGCTAAAAAGTTTGTTTCCATCTTTCTTATAGGCCCCCTTTAAATACTGAAAGGCTATAATAAGGTGTCCCCAGAACCTTCTCTTCTCCAGGTTGAACAACCCCAACTCTGTCAGCCTTTCCTCACAGCAGAGGTGTTCAATCCCTCTGACCGTTTTTAGGGTACTCCTTTGAACTTGCTACAACAGGTTCATGTCTTTCTTGTCTGGACATAGTATGCCAGGTGAGGTCTCACCGGAGTGGTGTAGAGGGCCAGAATCACCTCCCGTGACCTGCTGGCCACACTGCAGCCCAGGAAACAGTTGACATTCTGGGCTTTGAGTGCAAACTGCCAGTTCACATCCAGCTTTTCATCAACCAGTACCCCCAAGTCCTTTTCTGCAGGGCTTCTCTCAGTCCCTTCATCCCATAGTCTGTATTGATCCTGGGGACTGCTCTGACCCAGGTGCAGAACCTTGCATGTGGCTTTGTTGAACCTCATGAGGTTTGCACAGGCCCACTTTTCAAGCTTGCCCAGGTCCCTCTGGATGACATCCTGTCCCTCAAGTGTGTCAACTACCTCACTCAGCTTGATGTCATCTGCAAACTTGCTGAGGGTGCACTCAAGCCCACTGTCTGGATCACTGATGAAGATACTAAATAGCAATGGTCCCAGTACAGATACCACTTGTCACCGATCTCCATCAGGACATCAAGCTGTTGACTACTACCCTCTGGATGTGACCATTCAAACAATTCCTTATCCACCAAACAGTCCACCCATGAAATCCATCTCTCTCCAATTCAGAGAGAAGGATGTTGTGGGGGACTGAGTCAGAGACCTTACAGAAATTCAGACAGACAACACCTGTAGTTCTCTTGTCCACTGAAGTAGTCACTCCATCATAGAAGGCAACTAGGTTGGTCAGGCAGGACTTGCCCTTGGTGAAGCCATTCTGGCTGTCTCAAATCACCCCCCATCCTCCATGTGCCTTAGCACAGCTTCTTGGAGGACCAGTTCCATGATCTTCCTAGGCACAGGGATGGGGCTGAAAGGTCAGTAGTTCCCAAGGTCCTCCTTTCTGCCCTTTTCAAAAATGGGTGCAATGTTTCCCTTTTTCCAGTCGCTGGGGACTTCACCTGACTGCCATGACTTTTCAAATACCATGGAGAGTGG